AACCATTCACTCTCTCACTCACACCTAGAGACAATTCAGAGTTACCAATCAGCCTAACATGCATGTTTTTGGACTGTGGGAGGAAACCGGAGTACCCGGAGAAAACCCATGCACCCATGCACGGAGAGAACATGCAAACTCCACCCAGAAAGGCCCCTGGACCGGGGTTTGAACCAGGGACCTGTTCGCTGAGAGGCAGCAGCTCTACCAGTTGCGCCACCGTGCTGCCCGCTAATTTTAGCATTTCAGCTAATTCCACATTTTTTTCCCACTCATTTCAACTTTTTTGAGCCAAATTCAGTATATGTGCTTTCTCCACTTCCTTCTGCTAATGTAAGCTTCCTCCTGCCTTTTAAGCTACTTTTCAGCAGTGTCTTGCTAATTTAAGCTTTTTTTTTTTTTAATATAATTTTCACCTTTTTGTGTTCATTTCTGTTTCTTTTAGCCTACTTGGACAAGCATGTTGGCTTTCTTCTGCTAATTTAAGCTTGTTCTACCTTTCCAGTTGCTTTGAGTATTTTTAGCTAATTTAAGCTGTTTTCAGATCTATTCAAGTTTTGTGTGGTAATTTCTGCTGCTTTCAGCCTAATTAACATATTTCAGCTAATTTCAGCTTGTTGTGCTCCCTTCAGCTTATTTCTGATAGTTTCTGCTTTTGCTGCTATTTCAGCTAATATTTAGCTGTTTTTGTTCTAAATGTCCACTTCTACTTTTTTTTAGCTCATTTCACCGTTTTTCACTTCCTTCTAGTAGTTTCAACTTTTTTCTGCAATTTCAGCTACTTTTATGCTTTTTTTGTTTTTTGGTCAATTTCCGCTGTTTTAGCTAATTTCCTAATTCTTATGCTTGTTTCTGCTTATCTAAAGCTAATTCAGCAAATATGTGTTATTTCTGCTTTCTTCTGTTAACTTTGGCTTGTTCTTCTATTTCAGCTACATTTCAGCATGTTTTTAGTTAATTTCAGCTGTTTTTCAGCAAGTTCTTCAATAAGCACTCACACTCCATAGATACTGCAGCTCTTCCCTCCTACAACCACACAAGAGACACTTTGCTGTTATTTCAATATTCATACGGACGCATCAACGCTGCTGAATATCCACTCAGCTAATGTTACCAAATGAGTTCAGGTGGAAATATAACAAAATGTGTTCTCTTAATAATTGGTGCAATATGTGAGGGGGTACCAGCTGGTTTTGTTGCAGAGGAACAGTGACCTGCTCCGACCACAGCTGCTGAGTGTTCGGGAAGATTGGATTGTGGAATTAGAAAACGTATTGTTCTGGTTGGTTCAGGTGGTTGATTGCGACGTATTTCTGTGGGTCTGGTGGCAGTGATCGTCTCTTGCAATTATTCGAGTGCAGATATTAAAAAAATCTCATGCCGCGCGGTTTAGTATTTTGCCAAATGCGTTGGCGTAATTTGAATTTATTTGACCATGGATTAAAATGTGAAGAAATATGGCATATTCTGTAAAAAGTTAAACAGAGATGTGTGGATCTAAAAGTTTTGAACGGCTATTTAAGACCAACAATGGGAACCGTGTCACCGACATGTTCGGAAATGTATTTATCTTCTTTTTATCATAAATGAAAAACAAGAGGATGGCACGGTGGATCAGTTGGTAGAGCTGTTGCCTCTCAGTGAGAAGGTCGCCAGTTCAAATCCCGGCCGGGGGCCTTTCTGGGTGGAGTTTGCATGTTCTCTCCGTGCATGCGTGGGTTTTCTCCAGGTACTCCAGTTTCCTCCCACAGACCAAAAACATGCATGTTAGACTGATTGGTAACTCTACACTGTCCCTAGGTGTGAGTAAGAGTGAACGGTTGTTTGTCTCGCTTGTCTCTAAGTCTCTGAGATGGACTGGAGACCTGTCCAGGTTGTACCCCGTCTCTCGCAGTGACTGCTGGATACGAGCGCCAGTGACCCTCACAACCTGAAACGGAAGAAGCGAGTAAAAGATGGATAGATGGATGAAGAACAGGTCTACGAGTGGGTTTGTGTGTCATGTTTATCTTGTTCATCTCCACAAACTCAACTCTGTTTCTCAACCCACAAATGCATTTTGCTAACAAATATAATGAGAGTGTTACTTCGGTCAGTTGTGGTGAAGAAAGAGATGAGTTGAAAGGCAAAGCTCTGGACTTACTGGTCCATCTATGTTCCAACCCTCACCTGTGGTCATGGTTTGGATTCTGACTGAACGAACCACATCCTGGATACCATCCATTATCTTTACCTGCTTCTTCCTCTTTGCTGGACATGGGCACCAGTGACACCCATGACCCAGTCACTATGCGAGAGGCAAGGATCATAAGGACAAACCACCATTCACTCTTTCAGTCACACCTAGGGACAATTTAGAGTTACCAGTCAGCCTAACAATGTATGTTTTTGGTCTGTGGGAAGAAACCTGAGTACCTTTGGGTCTATTGAATGGACTTTTTTGTGTTCAACCCTCAGAGAGAACATGGAAATTCCACCCAGAAAGGTCCCCATCTGGGATTCTATCCAGTGACCTCCCTGAGAAACAACACCTCTACCAACTGTGCCACAGTGCTGCCCAACCCTGGATACAAGCTGCTGAAAGAACTTCCTTCATAGGATGGCCGCACTCCGTCTTAGAGAGTGTGAGGAGCTCCGTCATCTAGGGAATTCTCAGAGTAGAGCTGTGGAGGTGGTTCATCTGATTACGATGCCCCCAAGAAGCTTACCTTTGGACGTTGTCCAGGCATGTTGTACTAGAAGCCCCAGAACTCTATGGAGATATTATACATCTGGGAACACCTTGTGGTCCCCCAGGAGGAGCTGGAGAGTGTTGCTGAGAACAGGGAGGCATGGGTTTCTCTCCCGGACCTGTTACCTCCACAACCCTACTCATATAAGAGGTTGCAACAATGAAAAAAATCCACCAAATGCAAATTTCTTAAGTCTTAGTTCTTAAATTTAATTTTAAGGTAAAAAAATATATATACAAGCACTCAATTCAAAACAACAGAGGTGAATTAAATCATATTAAGAAGAAATGTTCAATTAAAAACTACTGGACTTGTCTTTAAGGGTCTTCTATACCTATGGTGCTAAAATCCAAATTTCTTTCTGCACCCCGAGGTGTCCCCTGATGAGTCGTGGTGCATACAGAGTGTGTATTTTAGAGTGCCCACACCCTCCGAGCACACATAACTGTCGCCGTTGAGTTATTACACATCTGTCTGTGTATTTTAAGGTGCACCAGATGCTGCAGTTAATGGCGCACCTAACCTCACACCACAAGATGTTGCACCGAGAGCCGGGAGGACTTTTTCACTGCCTCCTCTGCCGTCTTCCCCCTCGAAACCTCTGCTGTCCAGCCCTCAGAGAAGCCTGTAGGGGACGGTCCAGACAGGATATTAATGGGGGGCCTCCGACAGTCAAAGGCCCTGACGGCACTCTGTTCCATTGTCACCTTGCCTTGGAGGACGGTGAAAAACTTGCAGAGCTTATTAGCCGAATGGAGCTGTTTCTCCCCCTAACTTCCTCAATCTCTGCCTCACTGCTTCATTACACCGTCTTACATCAGACACACACATACACTCACACAGGGTGACATCTCCCACCTAATCAAGTAGTGGATTATCTTGTCCTGATAAATTGGAGCTTGTAGCACTTGAAAGGTCCTCTTGGAGGAGTGCCGTCTCACCCCCCCTCGCCCCTCTCACAGCTACTCCGAGCCCCTGGGGAGCAAGAAGAGAGAACATTGCCTCGTAATGATTTGTGGTGAATTGGACAAATGTTTTCAGAAAGACCTCTTTCCAGCAAAGTGCTTGATGAATCTGAGCTTGTGAAGAGACTCTCAATGCCGAGGCTCAAACTCAGACTGAAGTGATAAACAACTCCCGGCATCTGCTCCTCAGATTGCACCTGACGGGGACGGTTCAGCCATCATTTAGACTTACAGGCATGTTTGAATAGTGTGCGTTCTTAATCAGACACAGGGGTAGACACTAATAAAGCTTTTTAAACTTACCAAAACAGATCAAGAAAGTTTTTATTTATCTTGTACGATATGCTTTCATTTAACCTGCAATGCTTGTAAGAAGGCAGAGTAAGACATTTTAATGTAGGTGGTGGGGTTTGTAATCAAAATAAGAAGTCTAGTAGCCTTTGATTAAACTTGCTGAGATGATATCCACCACCTTACACATCAGCATCTTAAAGTAAGATCACCTTATACTGAGAAATGATGGCTTTTGGTCAAACCTTTGAGAATAACGACCGGTGTACTGTCACACAATATCGTGAGGTGTTGCATGAACTGTTAGTGTTCAGAGTATTTGTTGGGGGTCAGTCTCAGCTACGTCCACACAAAGTTTTAGCTCAATTCATATACGCCTGTCGAAAGTATTATGGTATAGCCTCAGTCTGTCTGGAAATGTAATGAAACTTCACACACATATGCATCATCACTAGACATTTCATTCTAACTTTAAGGTCAAGTGCTATACAAGATCTTTGCTTGTCCAAACCATAGCTTCTGATCCAGTCAAGATAATTTTATAAAACTTAATACACATATGCATCGACTGTAGACAAATGTCCCTTAATCTTTTCATACCCTTATCTCTAAGGTCAAGTTCATAAATCAAGATCAAAAGCCTTCTTGTTAAAACCCTTGCTATAGATTTCTATATAACAGTTTGTCAATGGGCTTAAAATGGTGCCGTATGTAGTATGTATGTGTATGTCATGTACACAAAACTCAATTAGGTGTAGAAGTACAATTAATTCTGTGGAGTTTCATTAAAATTTGTCCAGTAGTTCATGAGACATTTTGCTACCAAACAGACATGAACAATGAAACGTGATCGCCTGCCTTTAGCTTTTCATTGGCAAGTGATAACAAGATCTAACCGAGGTCTTTGTAGAGATAATTGTGCAACATGAAGCAAAACATAAATTCAAGTAACTAATGTGGTTTTGTATTAGTTTCAGTTTTTTGATCATCTTTTTCTTCATCTTGTCTTTAGGAGAATCCCTACATGTGTAATAACGAATGTGACGCCAGCACCGAGGAACTCGCTCACCCGCCGAAGCTCATGTTTGACATCGAGGGCCGAAACCCCACCACCTTCTGGCAGTCTACGTCCTGGAAAAAATACCCCAAGTCCCTCTTGGTCAACATAACGCTGTCTTGGAACAAGACCATCGAACTGACCGATGACATCGTCATCACGTTTGAGTCAGGCCGACCTGAGCAGATGGTTTTAGAGAAATCGCTAGACTACGGGCGAACCTGGCAGCCGTACCAGTTTTATGCCACGGACTGCCTGGATGCCTTCACCATGGAACCCAAGACAGTGCAGGAGTTGACGCAGCACACCCTGTTGGACATCATCTGCACCGAGGAGTACTCCCGGGGATACGTGTGGAAGTACGACAAAACCGTACGCTTTGAGATCAAAGATCGGTTTGCGCTGTTCGCCGGGCCGAGGCTCCACAACATGGCCTCGCTTTACGGACAGTTGGACACGACCAAGAACCTGAGGGACTTCTTTACCATCACAGACCTGAGAGTCCGGCTGCTTCGGCCTGCCACGGGGGCCACGATGGTGGACGAGAGCAGTTTGTCCAGATACTTCTACGCCATTTCTGACATCAAAGTTCAGGGAAGGTAAGAAATCTCCACGTTGTTTGAGTCTCGAAGACATTCATATGTTTCTGAGTGGAGTTCGGTGGAAACCTCATGAAGAGTTTTATCTTACCTGTTTTAATTAACTTTTTAACATTTGTAGCAGCTAGCTATAGCACTTCCTGGCATAATATCAACATATTTCTGCTTGAATAACTGTAATGTGAAAGTGCAGGATTTTAGCAGGTCGTCACCGGCTGCCAATAGATAATCTTTTATAACTGATTAACTTTTTGTCAAACTGGTTCAAGATGGCCACAGCAGTTAACCAATATTAGCCAACACATAAATGGATCAAATTCAGTAAGTTTTATGAATATTGAGGTAAAATTCGAGCAGCTGACAGTTATTCAAAACACATACTCTAAGTGAACGATTCTGAACACAATATTTTTGAGAATTGGCAAAAAAAACTCACAGCAAATCCATCAATTTTCAGAATAAAATCATCTAAAATCTCTGGCATTCTTAGAGTTGGGTGACCTGCAGTCCCTCAAGAAATGCTAGGCAAATAATTAAAAGAGCAATTAAATTAAGTGCCATTAAGTTTTTGACATTGAAGCGGTTTTAATTGATGTAACGCCACTCGAATTTGACTACTGTGATTTTTGCCATATAAGTTACACCTTTTTGCATAAATTACCATACCTGCAACATGTTTGTTTTTGTTCCCCATATTTATAACCCCATTTTTGGCTGAGGTCTGACAATTTCATTCCTTCTGACATGGAAAATATTGAACACTACCATTTTCAGCCACTAGAGGGCCCTCGAGCAATATGGCAAGCCAAGTGTCTCATTAATATCCAAAAAAGGTCCATGCACAATAATCCAGGTATACAATCCAACAATTTTCAATCATGTCATCTGGATAGTTTCTTTTTTTGCTGAAACGTTTCACCTTCCATCCGGAAGGCTTCATCAGTCAAGGAAACACACAAAACAAAACTGATTCTTCCCCCAAACAGCTTACTCCAAAGTGGAACAAACCAGTTATGTTGGTGCTAAGATGGTGTCTTTGGCACGCCCCATTAATAGATAAAAGTGGCTATTAATGAGACACTTGGCTTGCCATATCAAGCCACGTTTGTCTCGTTCCGAAACTCCTGGAGCAAACGTCAAATCAGCTGCATTTCGCTGCGCCGCCCAGGAGAAATGCAGCTGATTTGACCATTAAAGTGCATTTATTAAGGAAAGGTTAAACTGAGACACCACTTTACTATAATTTCAAACAAACAAATAATTGTTTTTAGGTGGTTATCTTGTTAAATGTCAAAGAAATGCACAGCGAGTCGTCCCTCAGCGCGCACCCGCAGCCGCAAACGGGCTTTTGAAATGCAGCTGATTTGACCGTCAATGCGCATTTATTAAGGAAAAGTTAGACTGAAACACACCTTTGATATAATTTAGAGCAAACAAATAATTGTTTTTAGGTGGTTATGTTGTTAAAATCCTCCCGTGCCCACGTTTCCGGGTTGTCAACGGTGACGCGTAATAGATGCGACTTATATGACAAAGCGATGTTTATGGTTGAAAGTACGGTAATCCTGCTAGCCATTCGCTTGTCACCCTGGCAGAATTAAACTGCATTCCTCAAAACTGAGGTAAGACGTCATAATCGTTTCACAAAACCATATTTCAAAATTAATGCTTTAATGGTGGATAAACAATTACACCGTGAATTTTCTTTTCAATTCTTTTTTTAGTGGAGTATCAACCCGTTAGCCTATCGTGAACCCATGACGCTGTGCAAAGCTAACATGATGTCAGCTTGTCTTAATTAACCCAACTGCTTGCCGTTTGCTGAACCACTCTGCTTTTTGACAACAAACTCACTCAGCGGCCTGTTGGCTCCTGGAAAACATCAGATGTAGCATTTCATCCATCAGGTCACTGCGCGCTCTAATTAGTGTCTGAATTACCGGTGTCACTGAGGGTCACGCAGCACGAAAACAAGACGGCGTTATGCTGTTAGCAGAACGACCCACAAGCCGACACCACAACACGAGCCACTGAGGCATAGACTTAAGTGGGCCTGTTTTACACAGTGTTTTTTTTTTTTTTTTTACTTAACTGATGTGGATGTGAGGTTGAAGGAATGAAGATTTAATTACTCCTGTTTTACTCTTCACACATGAGAGAGTCGCTGTGCAGAGGCGCAGAGCTGCGGAACGTCACAACAATTCGAGGAAATAGGTAGAAGTGTTGACGCCGGGCTGCCAGACCGAGTGTTGTTGCTGTGTGGCGCGGCTTGAAAATAAACTTGTGAGGTTTTACAGCGAACAGAAGTGTTTCATTCAGTGGCTGCAAACGGCAGATGTAGCTGCACGGAAATCAAACTGTTGAGCTCATTTCATTTAAAGTTTGGAGGAACGTCAAACCTTGCATGCCGTCGATCTTCATGTAGCTTAACTTACATGCCTTAGAGCGTCTTAATTAGTTTTTTTTATTATGCCTTAATATTTAAGGGATAGGTCACCCATTTTAAACAGTTACTTTTTTTTATTAAACAACTTCGGATTGGGGAAATACATATGTTGTGATCTGTGCATTTTAATTACTATTTGTCCGTTTGTTTAGAGTTTATTAGATATACAGAAGTCCCTCGCTACTTTGCGGTTCAACTTTCGCAGACTCACTCTTTCGTGGTTTTTCAAAGTAAGATTGGACATGACACACAGCTGGCTGATTGACGGATGAGCCGCACGAGTGGCATGGATTGTTTATTTAAAATAAAATTATTTTAAAGGATTTAGCACCTGCTGCACCTGTGTGCAGCCCACAGGTGCAGGGAGAAGCTCCCTCCTGCAGCATTTCATGATCTCCACTTTCTGCCACCTGCCAGCGATTGCAGCTGAAAAGTAGGTGTGGCTGAGAAAGTAGGTGTGGCTGAGAGTGCTGGCAGATGGCAGAAAGTGAAGATCATGACATGCTGTGCTCTTTTAGAACATTTAGAGTTTAGAAACATCGTTACTACTACTTACTACTAGTGTTACTACTTGTATTACTATACCTACTTCGCATTTTTTCCATTTATCACGGGTGTGCTTGGAATGGAACCCCCGTGATAAATCAGAAGAATCAGAATCAGAATAAGCTTTATTACCAATGTACCGAGATACAGTGAGTTATGTTCATCCGGTCGTCCGAAAGATGGGCAGAGTGCACGTTGCTGCTGCTACAACAGCGCGGCCTCTTATCCTTTATCGTAATTTTTTTAGATAGAAAAGGGGAAAAGGCCATGAGGAGAGGATAGTGGTATTGCAAAAAAAGATCTCTTCACATCTTGTCCTATCAGGACACGATTTAAGACATCGAAAAACTACAAGCAAACACATTTATACACACATTACATATGTGTTTGACGTCAAGATGGTGAGATTTGTCCATGAAGCACTTCCAGATAGACCATAGTCCTGAGAAGATGTTGGTCAGCCGGCAGTTCTGATAAGCCTCCACAGAAGTTCTCGGGGGTAGACAAAGCTTTTTCCTTAGTTTACCCATGTCCCAGGAGAAAATTGATCTGGCTTGCATCCAAGGCCAAATGGGGGCGTCAGATTCAGATAAGCCACAGTTGTTGATTTTCTTCAGGCAGATAGTTTTTTTTCTTGTCAGCCTTGAGTCCTGCTGGTACTTTCAAGATCCAAAATGGCCAGAATTATGGGCATTCCACTGATCCGTGCTATGAGCCTCATTCAAAGTCGTCTCCAACATGCTGGTGAGTCCTAGAAGCTGCAGGTGGCCTGCGATTCTCCAAATTGCTTCCATTTTACAGTTTAGGTCGTAAAAGAGCTGATTTTGAGTACTCGTAGCATGAACCAAACCTTCACACAGACTTGTCAATTTTGTCATGGTTTTAACTGCTGCCGATGTCTTCCTCAAAATCCGATAACATACTGTAGGAACCCGCCGATGCCAAAAAGTGGAAACCCTGCTATCATGAATCCAATTATATAAATGTCTTCAGCGTCCTCCTGAGACAGAACTGAAAGACACATCAGCTCCCACATCCCCCACGGGTCCATGACGTATCCTGCAGTGTGAGTCTCAGCGGGACATGAGGGCTCTCCAAGACCCTGTCGTTTTATTGAAAAAAGATTTTGTCGATTGCGCTGAAAGTCCAGCTCACCAGATCCATAATAATGTTTTTCATTTGGAAGATGTGTAACAGGAGCTCCAAGACACAGACAGAGAGCAAAAAGCAGGAGGAAGAGGAGAACAGGGGAGGGAGAGGAAAAGGCGTCCACCTTGAGCGAGAGCGAGTGCAGAAGAAATGAAGGACTACTGTAATCTTCCTTGTTGGTTATGTTTTTGTCTTCCGTGTTTGAATTCTGTTACTTGTGTTTTACCTGCCATCTGTTCAGTTTCCTGTTCCTGCCCCGCCCACTCTCACCTGTTTCTTGTTGTCTCCTCCCAGGTGTTTATCATTCTCCCTCGTTAGTGTTCCTTTATATTCTGTTTTTCCTTCATCAGTCTCATATTGAGCATTGTTCTGATGTCATCTCAGTCTTCGTCAAGCCCTTGTTATTTCTGAGCCCCCTGAGGTTTTTTGTTTCCTGGCTGCTACGCGAGCGCATTATTTTCAGTTTTTTTGTAAATAAAACTTTTTCTTCTGGAGATCTTCAGTCACATGAACTGTTGTGAATTTTTGTAGAGTGCAGCATTTGTTTGTTTTAAAGATGGCAGCAATCCTCTTTGGTCCTAGCTGCTTTTCAAACTAACCTTTAGCTCATAAATCTGGTCAAACTTAAACTTTTTTTTTTTTTTTTTTTACAAATTGAGGGAGTTCAAAATAAAGATGGCCATTTTAAACAAAAAAAAAATTTCAAATTTGAAAATACTTAATTTTTTTTTATATAAAAATAAAATATTCAAAAATACTATGATAGTAAATCTGCGCTTACCCGCGACCATAGTTTCCACTTCATCATCCTTTCAAAATAAAGTACGATGGAAAAATAGACATTGGGACACAATTATTA